TATCTATCTATCTATCTATCTATCTTAATTCTTACTGCATGGTTGTTGTTTTTTTTTACACATTATTTTTACATTTACATGCTTAGACAGTTTGGCCAATATGCAAGTATATACTGGATGCAGATCAGGTGTTAGTGTGTTGCTTACTATTGATCTACAGGATGATGACAATAAGGGGTGCAGCATATATCAAAAGGTCCAAAGTACAACAGCTACACACAGCAACGTGTTTACACAGTAATATCCTCTGCTTGCTTGTAGAAGCCACCTGTGTCCCTCAAGTCAAATGGTTCTTGGGTGACTCACCTTTTCCAAACAGCAAACAGCATCCATGAGTCACCCTGTCATTCATTTGACACTTTTACATTGATAGATAGACATCTAAGTTTATCCAAACCGCTTGACTATTTGACAGTTTGGAAAAGATTGGTGAATACGAAAAGCAGTTGTGTCATTTCCTGAACTAAGCTCACAGAAAGATTACATCTCACTCATCAATATGCTCATTATTTGACATCTCAGGTTGGATTACTGGTCATTAGATTCATCATTGTTTGCATTGTACAAATTGTAACAAGCTTGCATGATGAAAATAATAGTTTCTCACTTGCACGTCAAACTGGCACTTTCTGCTTTTTTTCTCTGTTCTTTCTGTTTTTTCATCTAGGTCAGTTTTCAAACAGACACTGGCTTTGAAAGTCAGGCTCCCACACATCTCGCTCTTTCTCTCAGTCTCTCTTTCTCTTGCCTTGTCCTGATTATGATAATGCAGGGTAGAAAAACAGAATACATTCAAAGCGGCTGCACTGCTGAACATAGGGTCTTATCAAGGAGTACATACAATTATAGAGGCATAATGTGAGGTTAAAGGTTTCCAGGGAATACACGATGAAAAATCTTTTTTTTTTTTCGCAAGCTGTTACTTAATGTATTGTAAAACTATAGAGCAGTACATTTTCAAAAAACAAAAGCACAAAGGTTGTTTCCATCTTTGAATTATTGATAATGTTTGGTTTCACTTTTTTAAAAAGCCGGACCTTGTTTCAAAGGTGATGTAAGCTGCAGTTCATCCACCCACAAGTTACATCAGAGGCTCTGGACTGAGTGTAACAAAAGTGAGACAGGCACAGAACAGAGAGGTAAAAATTCAGTGCAGGGATTAGTGCAATAACAAATGATATTCAGTTTGAATGTGTCATTAAAAATGGAGCAAGAGTCAAAACTGGGTCAGGCTTTTCAATTTAAATAAAAGGACAAAAGAAATTTTTACTCTAAGTTCTGTGCAACTTTGGAAATAAAGCCTTTCTTATTGCTGCAATGCAACTCATGAATGCAGCAGCCGTGCACACTGGAAAATTGACAGTTATTGTTTGAGAGGAACGAAATTATTGGTTCAACAAAAATCTGACTGTAGAATAAAAACAAATTGTTCTAAATGAGACAGATGCGAGAGATAGTCTCAAACAAAATTTGGTGTGCTTTTATTAAAGAGTACATATTCTGTTAATTGCTATATTTTTATTCCTGGACTCAGTTAAAATAGGTTTGCATGATCCACAGCTCAAAATAACCCATGCAAGAGTCTTGAGACTTTCTTTTAATTTTTAAGGTGCTCTTGAGCGATAGTTGTCCAACATGCAAACAAGATCTTTTGAGAAACCTGGAAAACTATTACCGACGACTACTTAATTACAAGAAAGAATTTGTCAGAGATTTTGAGGCTGTATTGAAGAACAAATGTGGTCATACCAAATATTGACTTTCAAGTTTGTTAAATAGAATAGTACAGTGTGAGAATTTAATGGTGTCTTCTGCAGAGCTTCATGTTTCAGAGTTCAAAGTAAACTTTACTTAAAAAAAGGTTCAGTTGCTTTGAATGATGCAGGCTCTGCAGCTCTGCAGTTAGCTTTTCATGTAGATTTTTAGTTAACTGTACATCACGCTGTTCTTTGTATTTCTCCAGACCAGCAGAGCGCTCGGGGGCAGATGTTGACATAATCCTGGCACGGCTGAAAAATGTGAAGGCCTTTGAGAGATTTCACCCCAGTTTGCTGCAGCAGATATGCCTGTGCGGATTTTACGAGTGCTTAGAGAAAGGCATCACCAGTAGGTGAAAATGCGAGCTCTGAAACTAATCTGAGGACAAGACGTTGCATCCATTTTATTTTCTCAAACTGTTTTTTTTTCTTCCCAGTATTTCGACAAGGAGATATTGGCACGTGCTGGTATGCTGTTCTCTCAGGTTCGCTGGATGTAAAGGTGTCCGAGACATCAAGTTATCAGGTATAATTTCACGAGCATCACATAAAGCCCCAGATTAAAATGAAGGCTGATGAAGTAATTGATAATTAAAAGATATCGCTCTCTTCTTTCATGCGTATCACACAAGATCACACTCATCTTAATCGATCTTAGCTTCACACACTAATGCTCCAAATTTGCACCCAAAGCTGAATTACTCTTTCTGTGAAGATCTCGGTAATTTTGTAAGCAAAGCTCCACCTTGAAAAATAAAAGTTAGATGAGGGAATATTACTGACCATTTGTTAACAGTGGAACTTTGCACACCTTAGCCTATTTGTCTGGGAGCTTACTGGAGTGATATATTTGTATCTTGTTGAGTGTATGGAGTGCTCAGGAGTTCTCCTTTAACCTTTGAGAGTTGTGCGATCGGCATAAATTCATTTGCTAAGAATATTACATTTGAACTTCACAGCATTCTCATCTAGTTGAAAGTTTTTAATCCCAATGAAGGAATGATCTAAGAGGAATGTGTGTGATGTTGGTGTATCTCATGTAGGATGCTGTTACTATATGCACACTGGGGACGGGAACGGCCTTTGGGGAGTCAATCCTGGATAACACTCCCCGACATGCTACCATCATTACACGGGAATTCAGTGAGCTCCTACGCATCGAGCAGAGGGAGTTTAGGTCTCTGTGGGAGGTATGTGCCTCGTTTTGCTCCATCTATACTTGTTGCAGAATACAGAAATTATCTGGGTCATTACGATTTGTGGCACATCTCAGACATCAAAGTCTCAAAGTAAGATTTGAAAATGCTATGGAATAAATGTGTCCATAGGAACTAACTTCTCTCATTTTAGTGATAAACAGAAAATTCAGACCGCTTTTGATCATTTGAAGACAAAGCAGCGCCTTATCAGCTGAGTGGGTAGCTCAAAGGCAGCACACGCTGGTTTCCAGTTATCATTTAATTTGTGAGTAACTGAGGGGGCTGCTTAAAGTCAGAGAACAGCCACCTGTCCTAGCCTGTTCTTGTTGCAGCTGAAATGTTAAATCTGAAAACTGTGACCAATTGAGCTGAGCGCTCTCCAGAGCGTAGGTGGTGTACACCACCTGTGGATCAGTGAAGGTTGGGTTATGAATTTATTGTTGGGCCTCTGGAGGAAAAATCTGTCCAATTCTTTTACTGTAACCTTCTGCTAGTGCTCTGTCTGATTTTGACTTATGAGCGGTTGGTTTATCCCTTTTGACCACTAGATGGAAGTGTAGCTCCGAGGAGAAACTTTCTCTCCAGCCTTGTGTTTTCACTCACACTAACATCATTTCAGCAGTCATTCAGTGTAAGTATAAAACTGGGTATTAACATTCAGTATAAAACGTTTAAGTACTTGTAAGAAATGACTTTGTTCTGTAAATTAAAGACAAACATAATGTTCATGGACCGCTTCAGTCAGAAATATCTCACTCATCTTTCTGTCTCCTGCTGCTGTGGGCTGGTGGGTGCCACGCTGTGTAGAAGTTCCTCTCGTCACTCACCTCCCCCTCAGCTGGGCTGGGTTCCTGAGAGAGAGACAGCCCATTTCCTTTGGGACCAAAGGGCATCAGCGGGTTAAGTTATGGGCTGTGTGTCTGTTCCAGCACACTGGCTATCAGAAGCTGTGTGTGGCTGGATACTTTAATTTGGCTGTGTGTATGCTCACGTGGAAGTTCAACGGGGATACACATTTCACCTCTGCCCCCGGGCGACCTCTTCAGTTCGGTTCGTCTCAAATTAGATTTTCGAGCTTCTGTATCTGGTGTCCAGATTGTCTTATCTCACTCTTGGATCTTTTTGGTCTTGTTTGTTACTTAATATAAAGACTCACTGCAAAGTGATGGTGAAGATGCTGTTTGGCGCATGAAGATAAACAGATACTATTTTTTCGAGGCTTCTGATTTTTTAAAATTAATGAGTGTCTATATTTGGAAAGAGTTCCCCACAGCTCCAGTTTCAAACTCAGGTTTAAGTTCAAGGTTTGTGAAGGGCGTCACACCCACGATAGATGCATTCCTTAGATAATGGCACTGAAATGCTTTCTGCTCAACCTTGGTCCTCTTTGTTGCTTGTGTGACGGTCCATTCTTGTATTTTCTAACTAATAATATTACAGTATAAGTGTTTAAATCTAACTTTAAGACTTGGGCTTGTAAGTATTATTTTGCAGCATCACAGGCACAGCTGTTAAAAGGCAAGGATCTTACCAGGCACTTTTCTGAGTTCTCCAGTGCTCATTATGATTTTAATGTGGTGAGTTTGCACATGTAATTTTGAGGCTTTTTAAAATTTTGTCAAGGTAATTGGTATTTTTGTGTAGGAAAAAAAAGGATAATGGATAGTTTAAAGTTGAAGCTCTCTAAATGAGATATGTCCTACGCTGAGATGTCTCCCGTCCTTGCAGTGTTTCTTGTACAGAACTTCATCTAAAAAAACAGAAAAGTGATTTACAGCATTAGCATCAATACATGGATCTTCTATTGTTAGATGTGCTGAGTTAGCCAGCCTGTACCTGAGCAGCACTGCGGTCAAAATTCACACGATCGAGACAGATAATCATTTCAGTATTTTGCAGTTTGTTGGTCATACAAACAGTTCGCCTGAATGTTCTTCCAGGCATATGTGCTTATTTTTTTCCTCATAGTTTTACTGCAGTGCTGAACGATTGTTTAAGGTGTATCTTGTTACTGGTGGCATCAGACATCAGACTGTGTGAGTCACTTCTGATGTTCTGTGGTGACTCTAAGTTTCCTGTGTGTCTTGATGGTTGCTTTTGCAGATAAAGCTCAGCTGCTTCACAGGGTCTTAATTTAAGCTGAATTGCATTCTGTGGTGCATGTTGAATGTTAAGCTGCATCAGGTCAGTGTTCTTACTGCTTCCAGCCCCTGAAAGATTGGGTGAATAGAAGAATACAGCTTGATTACAGCTAATGTGAGGAGATGGGAAAAGAGTGATGCTAAAGGAAATATATTACCTGCTCCGGTCTGAGCCAAAGGAAGCATTTAAACAAAGCTACACGCCTTCTCCTTCTCCTTCACCGCCTCCTCCTCCACCACCACCTCCTCCCTACAACACAGAACTGTCCCAAGAGTGAGAACAACACTAGCTTTATTTATGATTATACTTGTGAATAATTTAGTGTATTTTTTCTGTAGGTGTTTCAATCTTCTGTTTGGAATAATACAGTAAATAAAAGAATTACAGAGAGGTGACAAATTGGATAAACGTAACATAGTAAATGCATTTGGGAAAATACTTTGACGTGCCTTAGCACGTTGATTCTTCAAGTCTCCGGAAGTCACTTGGAGTTATAAAGTACACTCACCGTTCACCATTTTTCCATTAGAAGTGCCTCAATTCTTTGTGGAATAG